TGGGGTGGTGGTGATGGAGGTGGAGGTGGTGGTGATGGAGGTAGAGGAGGTGGTGGGAGGTAGAGGTGGTGGTGGTGATGGAGATGGGGTGGTGGTGATGGAGGCAGTGGTGGATGTGGAGGTGGAGGTGGTGATGGAGGTGGTGGTGGAGTTGGTGATGGAAGTGGTGGTGATGGAGGTGAGGTGGAGGTGTTGGTAGAGGTGGTGGCAGTGGTATAGATGGTGGTGGTGGTGATGGAGGTGGTGGATGTGGAGGTGGTGGTGATGGAGGTGGTGGTGGTGGTGATGGAGGTGGTAGTCGTGGGAGGTGGTGATGGAGGTGGAGGTGGTGGTGATGGAGGTGGTAGTCGTGGGAGGTGGTGATGGAGGTGGTAGTGGTGGTGATGGAGGTGGTGGTGGTGGTGATGGAGGTGGTAGTCATGGGAGGTGGTGATGGAGGTGGAGGTGGTGGTGGGAGGTAGAGGTTGTGGTGGTGATGGAGGTGGTGGTGGATGTGGAGGTGGTGGTGGCGGTGATGGAGTTGGAGGTGGAGGTGTTGGTGTTGGTGGTGGTGGTGGTGATGGAGGTGGTGATGGTGGTGGGAGGTGGTGATAGTGGTGATGGAGGTGGTGGAGGTGAAGGTCTTGCCCCTTCCAGTCCACTTGCTTCCCATCCGCAGGAGGGAGTTCTCTGTATTCTTACATGTGCCATGACACCTCTCTAGGGGGACACCTGGCACTGATGGGTCCAGTCTTGGTTAGGGAGCAGTCTGTACCCTCTGTGACTCCCTTAGTCCTCTGAATGAAGTTCAGTCTCCCAGCAGTTCAGCCCACATCAGCATCTTGCTTCCACTGCTGCCTCCGGAAACCCACCATCACTCCCTCAGTGCTTGGGGCCAGCCCCTGGTCTGGGCGACACTGGTCCAGGAGTTAACCCTTGCAGTATGTGCCCGGGTTAGGGGGGCCCACAGGCTGCAGGAACAGTCAAGCCCAGTGAGACACATCCAGGGGTGAAGGAAGTTTGAGGAGTCCGGAGAGATGACTGCAGGGCTTACACAAGCTGTGACCCCAGAATTGGGCCTGGAGAGGTAGAGAAGGCGAGGGGAAAGGTGTCCCAGGCAGAGGCCATGCGGGAGGCTGTAGAGTGAGGCGTAGGACAGCTTGAGTGTCATTGGCTCACGTACCCATTCAGGGAGAAACTCCCGACACCACTGTGTGCCCCCTACCCAGCCAGTGCCCCGCGCCCCTGCCTCCTCCCAAAGTCCGGGAACGGAAGGTTCTGTCAGCCTCAGCCTCACAGGTGGCCCCGGCGTGATTTAGGTGCACAATGAGCTTGTAGCTGGAATTGTGTCACCCCGACCGGAAGCCGCCTGAGCCCTGGGAGGGTCCTAGCAACATTCAGTGTCATTGGTCACTGACAGTGAGCTCAGCGACAGAGGTGTCTTGTTCTCTTCCCTCTCCTCTCTTTCCCTCACTTTCTCCCTCCTTTCCTGAACTCCTTTTTTCCTCCTTCTCCCCTCTTCCTTCCTTCCTCCCCTCCTCCTCTTGCTTCTTTCTCTCCCTCCCTCCTTTCCATCCACCCATCTCTCCAATCACGTCTTTTGGCTTCCTGCTCTCTGAACGCCCCACCCGGGCCCCTTCACACATGGCCCGGCTCCTGTCTCGGGGCCACCCGTGTGCCAGACGCTCCAGCTGGTGCTGCCCTTGCGTCATCTCCAGACTGTGCGCGCCAGGGCGCCGAGGTGCCGGAGACCCTCCCCGAACCACACACTCCAGAACTGACAAAGGGTCCGGCCTCATGCATGGTGGGATCCCAGTGCCCAGCCCAGCGCTCTGTTGGTTGAAATAGAGGCACAGAGAGGTTAAGTGACTTGTCCAAGGTCACACAGCCAGTAGGCAGCAGAGCCTGGGACTTCACTGCAGTGTCTGCCCCAGGCCCGTGCCCCATTCCTCCCGCCTCTCCTCTGCTTTCCCCTCCTCCTCTGCCTCCTCCTCCTCCCTCATCTTTGTCTCTGGCTCTTCCCTTTAGGCCTGTTGCAGCTCGCCTGGGCCTTTGCATGGAAGCTTCCCCTGTCCCGTCCTGGCAGTTGCAGAAACCCGTTTTGCCCACCCAAACAGAGAGGGGCTGCAATGAACCCTAATTGTTTGCTCGGAGTAATCAATTATTCTCCGTTTGTGTAGCCATGTGAGGATAATAAGCAGCCGCCATCTGGGCGGCTCCGGGAGGCTGGCGGCGGGGGCAGGTGCAGGCGCAGCCACAGCAGCGATGCTGCCGCAGGGAGGAAGTTTCTGCTCATGAGTCTGCGCTGTTTAGGAAGTTTCTGACATGGAAATCTCACTCCTGGGCTGTGTCAGGTCGCCCCGCTTTGCCACTGACCATAGGGGTGCCTGACTGTGGGACTCACCCATCCGTCTCTGGCCTCCGTTTGCTGACCTCTGCAGTGAGCGGATGCCACCGTCGAGGCCACTCGAGCACAGATGGTCTGGGGGCGCTAGCAGTTACTGAGCACCCCGCTCCAAGTGCCTGGCCTGTGCTAAGCTCTTTCAAGGAAGCTGTCAGTGCAGCCCTATGGAGGAGGAGGGTGAGGCTGCGAGGTCCTGGATGGTGTCCATCCCTGAAGGCTGAGGCAGGGCAGGGATCCTGAGAGCTTGCTCTGGGAGGGTGGTGCAAAGCTGGGAGCCCCACGCCTCTTCCAGGCTGCAGAAGCTGCTGCAGGGCAGGGGGCGGTGAGGGCCTGGGACAGACCTCATCATGGCCTACTATTGTCTCCCCCATACCAGGCTTCCTGGACTGGGTCCCCAAGAAGATGCAGCGGGTGGGCTGTGTGGAGCTGCTCAACACGGTGCAGAGGCGCGTCCAGCCGCGGCTACACGTCTTTGGCCACATCCACGAAGGTCAGCACGTGGTGGGGAAGGGGACCTCACAGGTTGGTGGCTCCTAATGGACCCTTCAGAGGAATCGCCCCTCCCTTCAGCCAGAAGGGAAATAAATAGCCCATTCCTACTGTTCATTTTGTAACTCCTAGCTGCCATACACACCCTGGCTGTCAATGAACTATTGTTAAATGTTTAATAATAGGAAGATGATCACAAAATTCTGTGTGACTTAGGAGGTAAATTTTGCTTATGGGGAGCCCTGCAAGTCTGCTGTGCCTCCAGCCTGGGAAGCCATCGGGAGATGGGCAGGGGGTTTTCAGAGGAGGGGGCATTTGGGCCGCAACACGGAAGATGCATTATATTTGGTGGGCACACTATGAATCCCTTAAAACCAGTGGCCCTCTCTTGTTGCTTCTATCCCCGAGGCCTGGCATACAGCAGGTGCTTAATAAGTGTGGAGGTGAGAGTGATGCCAGCTCCAGTTCTGTTATCCACACGGCCATACCCTGGCCTGTTGCTCCGTGCAGGTGTTCCCTAGTAGACCTCAGCCATCCTCACCTCAGCCCCATTTCACCAGTTTGGCACAGGTGCCTCTTTTTTTGCTTCATTTGGATATTTATCCCACCTGCCCAAGGTGCCTCTGTCACATCCCTGCCAGGAAGCATATTGGCTTCTGTGGGATGTCTGGATTGATGTGGCTTCCCTCAGAGGCATCTCCTAGCTTCCTGAACCTCTGTCTGGTTGGACCAGGGACCCCAGGCCTCCACCTTGTCTGGTCCACATCAGATCATTTTCCAGCTCAAAAGCAAGCAAGCCTCAAATCATTTGTTCCCTGAGGGCCTCTGTAGTTCATTGTCAAGGGGCAGCAGTGACCAGACCCCACCTGGCCCTGGAGTAGTTCCTGTAGGAGCCTTGGGAAGCAGATGAGTCATCGAAGCAGGATCTGAGAGGTCCTGGGAGAGGTGGGCAACTCACATGCTGCGCGATAATAAAGACTGTCATTTTCTGTGGCCCTACTATGGGCATGCAGCTCCATCAGATCCAAAGTTGCCTGTGACCAAAACCACACCGCTGCACAATTGGACAAGCAAAATGGGACTCCAAAGAATAGGTCATCACCCACCCACTGATCACTCCCTTCCTCCCCCACCACCACACAGGGAAGGGGAAATGTTCCTTCTGTCTTGGAGATGACCTGAGCTAAAGAATGAGGGTCATTCTAACAAATAGAGGTGGTGGGAAGAGAGTATGATGGAGGCAGAGAAAGTGCATGACAATGATGATAATGATAGTGATGGTGGTGATGAGGATGGTGTGATGGTAGTGATGGTGATGGTGATGGTGGTGATAATGATAGATGATGGCCGTGATCACAGCAGTGTTGGTAGTGATGGTGGTGATAGTGACAGTGTCAATGAAACTGATGCTCATGGTGGTAGTGGTGACAGGGGTGATGATGATCATGATAAGCGCATGACGGTGATTGTGATGATGATGGTGCTGATACAATAATGAGGGTGATGATAATGACAGTGGTATTGACGGTGGTGATGGTCATGGTGACATCATTGATGACAGTGTTGATGATGTTAGTGATGATGGTGGTATGGTGGTGATAATGGTGATGATGATCATGGTGGCATGGGTGATAACATTCTTGGTGATGGTGGTGATAAATAATGGTGGTGGTGGTGACAAATGGTGATTTTCAGGGCGGCGATGATGTTGATGGTGATAGCAACGATGATGGCATTGGTGGTGATGATGTTGATGGTGTTGGTGTTGTTGATGTTGATGGCACTGGTGATGATGGTGGTGATAATGGTGATAATAATGATAGGAGCAGTGATGATGATGTTGATGGTGATAGGATGATGGTGTTGGTTATGATGATGATGGTGGTGGTGATTGTACTGATGATGGCATTAGTGAAGACGATGGTGGTAGTGGTGGTGATAAAGGTGGTAATGATGATGTTGATGGCATTTTTGATGATGTTGGTGATGGCAGTGGTGGTGATGAGAATGGTGATGATAATGGTGATAGTGATGATAGCACTAGTGATGATGATGATGGTGATGGTAACGGTGGTGGTGATAATGGTGGTGATGATAAGGGTGTTGGTGACAGGTTGATCATGATAGTGATGATGATGGCAGTGGTGGTGGTGATAATGGTGGTGATGATAAGGGTGTTGGTGACAATCAGATTGATCATGACAGTGATGATGATGGTAGTGGTGGTGGTAATAATGGTGGTGATGATGGTAAGGGTGTTGGTGACAGGTTGATTATGATGGTGATGATGGTAGCAGTGGTGGTGATAATGCTGATGATAAGTAGTGATGATGATAATGGTCATAGTGATGATGGCACTAGTGATGGTGATGGTAATGGTGGTGGTGATAATGGTGATGGTAATGGTGGTGGTGATAATGGTGATGATGGTAAGGATGTTGGTGACAATCAGGTTTAGTAGTGGTGGTGATAATGGTGGTGATGATGGTAAGGGTGGTGGTGATGATGCTGATAGTGATGATGGTGGTACAATGGTGGGGATGGTGATGAGGGTGGTGGTGAATATGATGTCGATGATGAAGACTCACTGTGTGCTTCTCATGTTTCAGGCACTGGGCTGAGCACAGTGCATAGATAATTGTCTCGTTTAATCTTCACAGCAAGCTTGGAAGTGGCATGTATCATTGTCATCTCCATTTTACAGATGAAGAGACTGACCTTAAGAGTTTTTAGTAGCTTGCCCCAAACACATTCAGCCCATAGGGTCCGAGTGCCCTGTGACTGCCACACCCACTGACAGTCCTCACTGCTCTGGCTGCTGGCCTGACGGGCGTGTGCTTACCTTCCAGGGTATGGTGTCATGGCAGATGGGACAACCACCTATGTGAACGCGTCCGTATGCACTGTGAACTACCAGCCCGTGAACCCGCCCATAGTCATCGACCTCCCCACACCCCGGAACTCCTGACTGCTCCCCGCTGCCCCAGCCCTGCCCACCCACGTCAGCTCCATAGGCCTTGCCCGGCCACTGTTCCTTCCATGCTGAGTCGCCTGGATGACCCACCTGGCTGCAGGGACTGGCCTAGCAGGCAGGTCGGGGTCTTGGAACGACTCTTCAGCCTTCTGTCACCTGGAGTTGGGACCCTGCGCATCCCCATCAGGGGTTCTGTGCTCCTTACTTTTTCTGCGTGTACATCCTGTGTGTACCTTGTTAAAGAACCTGCTAAGCTCATGGCCCTGTCATGTTTGGGAAATGACTGAATCTTCATTCTTCTCACTTGGACGCCCTTCTGGTTTGGGAAGCTGCTGCTCTTGAATGGGTTTTGGAAATTACGCAAAATCTCCCTCTGACCACGGATCTGTGTGGCTGCACGCCCCAGGTTAGAGGTGGTGGGAAGACTCATGGGCTGCACACAAGCAGTCCTTGCTCTCCCTCCAAGTGAGAGAGGAGACAGGCCCAAGGCGGAGGCCCTCCAGGGAGCATTTAGGGACATCTCAGGAATTCAGACCACACCTGGCCAGGCCCACCGCAGTTTGCCTGGCATTGTTCCCTTTTTCTTCCTGTAGGCATTTCTGTTGACTTGAACAACGGCCTGAGTGTCCTAGGCATTCACCCGGAGCCTGGATCATGGGGGCTGGTTCTATGGGATGAACTGCCAGTGTGCGTGCCCAGGACTAGCAAGAGGGTTCCCCAAGGGGGAACGACCCTTGGCCCCAGGGGGACCACGCTGCTCTGCATGGTATGAACCATGGTATGAACCCATATCCAGGAATGCACTGACACACACGCACGCACGCACCCCTCTTAGTTTAACGAAGTAGGTCCTCTGTTTCTCCTTTCTGCCCCGCAGTGAGGGTCTGTTCCTTGGTGTGGTTTCCCTTGCACCATTAGGTTTCTGTCTGGCATACGCCTGCAGCTGAGGGAGTCTAAAAATCCTGTTGTCCTTGGACCAGCCAGCCCTTTGAATGGGAAGCTGTTTTCACCCCGCATCTATCCATCCATCACTCATCCCTCCATCCCTTCATCCCTCCATCCCTTCATCCCTCCATCCCTTCATCCCTTCATCCCTCCATCCATCCATCCATCCCTCTACCCCCATTCATCATCCATCCCCCATACGTCCATCCCCCATCTATCCTCCTGTGAACGGGAGGGTGGCACAGGAACAAAGCGGGCCCCAGGCTCCAGCAGCTCCACCTTGGACAGCTTCTTTTTCTTCTTTGAATTAGGACTGGTGGGGTGGGGGGCAGGGCAGAAGTGGGAACACGTAGGGCCTAGATTAGGGCAGGCAGTCAGGCAGAAATGGGCAAGTGCAGGGTCAGATTCTGTCCTTATTTAATATTTTGTTCATCACGGACTTTTTTTTGCATTTATTTTGATTTTTAACATTGCATTAACGTAGTATTATTTGTCCTGATTGGTGACATTTTTTGCACCCCGTTGCACATCTGAGAGGAGGGTGCCACTCCCTCACCCAGGTCCCAGCGCTGGGAACCAGCCTGCAGTGAGCCCTTTGTAGTCTCATTTCATCCTCAGATGGTCCTTCAAGGTAGGTACTTTGTCCCCATTTTAGAGATGAGCGACTGAGGCCAGAGGGGTGTGGTGACTTGCCTGGGGGCTCATAGCACAAAAGGAGCAGAGGCAGGATCTGACCCTCGGTCTCTGGCCTCATGGCCCTCACTTTGCCATGACCTGAAATTATGTCCCTACAAAGCAATGCATGGTCCAAGGCTCTTCTTATTGTATTTTTATTTTTAAGGGTCCTGTTCAAAACTGGTCTGAGCTCTGAGGAGTCCTGAACCCTGGGCACAGCATCCAGGCATCCTGGGAGACTGGGATTCCTTTTCTGCCCATGCTGAGCCGGGCTCCTTGAGGGGTGAGGCTGCTGTCTCCGGAAGCCTGACAGCAGCACTCTGTCGGGCTGACCGAGGCTGAGCTCTGTGGGGTGCAGGGCTCCCGGAATCCCATTGGCTGGAGGGGCTCCTGTAGCCGGGGATGTTTACGAGGTCTCTCTGATGCCTCAGGCACGGGACATGTGTGCGGTGGAGAAAACCAGGCCCTTTCAGTGCCAGCTCCACTCAATTTCTATGTGGACCAAGAACTTCAAACTCAAAAACATTTTTTTCCTAAGATATCTTCAGAATATGGTGTATTTTTATGTGGAAAAGAAAAGTTATGACGGCAGCTGTTACTTTAAGAGAAAATTCATTAAAAGTCCTCGAGGTATGAAGATGACGGCGTGATCCTCAATCATTTTGGCATAACTTGATTGTGGCTGTAATTTTTTTTTGTCAAGCATGTCAGACAATAAAGTCTTTGTAAAAAGAGAAGTCCGCACGGCTCTTCTTCCTTCTGCGTCTCTGGGTGTTGCCTGGGACGCGTGGGGGCAGCGTGGTGTCCTCTTGCAGAATGCTGAGGCCTGGACGGACTTGGAGACTGAAGCCTCCGTGTGGCAGCAATTGGTGTCCTTCTGGTTGCTTTAGCCACCCCTGAGGCGGGGGGATCGCAGAGGTGGTGGTGTGGGCAGTTCTGGGTCCTCTTGTGTTCAAACACTTGGCTGCCTGGTCTCCCGGAACAGAACACCTCCAGAGGCCTTAGCGCTGGACTCGTCCTGGAATTGGCATGTTCAACCAGCCCCTGTGAAACACAGGGTCCTGGCATTGCCCAGGAGAAACACTGGCAGGTACAACGACCCTAGTTTCAAAGCCCCCAAGCTGCAGAAGTTCTGTCATTTTTATCCATCTGTCCATCCATCCCTCCATATGCCATTTGCCCCTCCTACTACCCAACCATCCCCAATCCATCCCTCCCTCCCTCGAGCCATCCATCCCCCATTCATCTATCCATCCATCCATCCTCCATCCATCCTTCCATCTATTTCCCATCCATCCATCCATTCATCCCTTCCTTCATCCCTCCATTCACCCCCCATCCATCCTTTCCTCCCTCCTTCCCTCCCACTTTCTATCCATCCATCTTTCATCCATCCACCCCCCACCCATCCAGTCTACAAACACCACTGAGCACTTCCCACGGATCTTGCTTGGGCTAGGGAAGTGGTGGTGGTGGCAGTGATGGATTTAGGAGGTAGGATGGCAGTGAGGGACAGAGGTGGGCCATGGGGGAGGGACAGCCAAGGATAGCAGTGGATGCTGGCTGGACATGGAGATGGGGCACAGGAGCAGGAAGAGCAGGGCTGAGGAGGGACATGGAGTTCTGTTTGGGACGCTGGAGGAGGCTTTGGGCTAGAGAGGGGAGGTGTCCAGTGGGTAAACGGGGAACAATGTCTCTGGAGCCAGATGTGGGTCAGAAGCAAAGATGTGGGGCAGGGGAGACCTCCCAGGGAGGTGTGCAGGGCAGGGGGTCAGACCACAACGTGCCACCCCTCCATGGCCCTCTCCTGTTCTCAGACTGGCCCCACCTGCCACCTGCCCCTCCAAGAGCCCCATCCACCAGGGTCTCACAGGGGTGTACAACAGCCATCCCAGGCCCTGGCTCCCCATCCACAGGCGCCGAGGAGCTGCTTAGCTTGAGGGGCCCTGGCTCCTGCTCTTGGCCAGCATGCACCCCAGCAGGGCTCCTGGGCAGGGGCAGGGAAGGGACTCTGTGGCTTCTGCCCCTGGTGATTGCTGTCACAGGGCAAGTGCTGCCTGAATGCATCAGGGTCCCATCTGCCCAGCTGAGATGCAGCATCATGGCTGAGCCACACACTTCTGCAGGACGGGTAGGCAGCTCTGAGTTGTCCAGGGCGCTGTACCAATGGTGAGGCCATCCTGCAGCAGAGGTGCCTGGTGTTGGAGCCTCAGCTCTTGGGAGAGCAGCACTCTGGGCTCAGCCATTGTTCCCCAGGCAGCCCAAGGCACAGGAGACAGAACAGCATGGGGCCCAAGACCACTTTCCATTGCCAGTAGGGGTCTGGGGGCAAGTACAGCGGGCCGCCTCCCCTCCCTGCCTCCACTCTGACGGCGTGTCCACTCCCAGAGCCCCAGCCCCAGGACCAACAGCTCCGTCTTGCAATTTGCTTTCATGGAGCTAATCCTTGAACCTCCACGAGGACCAAATTCCTAGGAATTTTTCTTCTAGGAGACCCACTCCCTAGAATGAAGCCTGAATGAACCAGCAGAGCTACAAGCCCTGTGGACAGGGGCTCCACTCAACATGCCCCGGATGCTACCCACAACTCCCACCTGGGCCCAAACCTGCCTGGCCAGCTTGGGGGCCTTTATCACGTACACCTGAGAGGCTCCAGCCCACTTCCCATCGAAGGCACAGCTGAAAAGGTCTCCACACTGTGGGGATTAGGGCTGACATCTAGAAACTCAGTGCACTCTTGAAGGTTCATCTGACCCCAGAAGAAAAGCTGAACCCCTCAGGCCTTCTATGTGGGGCCCAGTGAGTGGCAGACAGGTCAGTCTTGGGGGCCCTGGGGAAAAGCAAACCCAGCCTACAGGGGTGGTCAGAGAAAGCTTCTGGAGGAAGAAGCGTGGTTGGGCCGCGAGCAGCAGGACGTCTTGGAGGGATTGGGAGGCCCACCTCCGTGGGCACTCAGCACACCTGTCTCATTCAGGACCCACAGCAACCCCGCACGGCTGTCCTCCCTTCACAGAAGAGGAAGCTGAGGCTGGGAGGGGACGTGACTCGCCCACGGCTCAGTGAGTGTTCCATTTGTAGCTTGTCCTTCACAGACCCACCTGAATGTGCTTTCATGAATGACAGAGGGGCAAGCCCAAGGGCAAGTTGAGTTATGCAAGTGTTATTTTATTTTATTTATTTTTGAGATGGAGTTTTGCTTTTGTTGCCCAGGCTGGAGTGCAGTGGCACAATCTTGGCTCACTGCAACCTCTACCCCCCGGGGCTCAAGCGATTCTCTTGCCTCAGCCTCCCTAGTAGCTGGGAT